CGCTAAAAGGTTGCAGGCCATTGCTAGTAGGTTGGAGGCCATCGCTAGTAAGTTGGAGGCGATTGCTATTAAATGATGGTATATTGTCATGTGTCTCAAGGACCCGGAAAGACCCCCCCCGCTTACCCAGCTTGCATCATAGTCAATCCTATTCGATGGTTCTTCCCTCCTAACACGTTGCTTCCTATCCAGGATCGCATGGTTCCTTGTTAGAACAAGCCTAGTTCACTGCAGAGCGTTTGAGGTCTCCAGATCTCTACAGATCTATGCATCCAGAGGAAGTCTTAAATGCTTCTTAAAGCCAATGTCTGAGGTGCTGAATGGAGCGATAGTGTTCCACCCACATGGATGGTTCAACAGAGTGATATTCTCAAAACCGACAGAAGATGCTTCAAATATCTTCAAATAATAGGAGAGTTCTGGATGACATAGAGGATCCACTCATTCCGAGCTTTGGAATCTTGCCACCTGCTCACCTCTTGTCACCTCTGCTCACTCTGCATTCCATGTTGTCGGTTGCATCATCTGTTGGGAGATTTTGGCGACTGCCCGAGTGTGACTCAAGTCAGAGCCTCTCATAAAGAACAAAGCGGCAGTGCACTTCTGCATCTGCCAACCCCCATGGATCCACCAAGTTTGATCACACCTGAATCTCCATCAACTCATCTTGTGGTTTTTCGATATCAGAGTGGATCCTTGTGGATCAACGGCTACCCAGAGCAGCCAATCTAAGGCTGTCCATCCGCTGTGAGCACACCCAGTCCATGAAGGGTTCAACCTAGATGCGCTTCAAACAACGGCAAAAGCACATTTACTGTATCCCAGGGGCGAATGACATGCTCACTGGCTTGTAATATAAACAAAATGGTATGTTTGTTGCTTCAAATATCCTCAACATATCAGCCGACCAATGCAATCAACTTTGGGGTGCTGGGTTGGGCCCATGTTGGAAAGCAAGGCCAGATTGGCTGGAGCCATCGACTGTCTGGAGTATGGAGCTTGACTGAGCTCGGTCAAGCTGGAAAAAGGAGCCATTTTCAGCAGCTGGTGGCCAAGAAAGGCTCCGAAGCTCCTTCTGTCCGGGAACTGACCAAAAGGCCAATGGGCCAATGACAAGAACGCACATTCTTCTCATTGTGTTTGGCTGCTTCGTCCAAAACATATGATCTTCCGTTGCCGGTGTCTTCTCCGACGGTTCCACAGTTCATCTCCCCCTGTCGGCACCAAGCCAGCGGCACCGCGCCCACGGCGCGTGCTGGCGCGCGGCGCCCCACAGGGGCACAGCTGGCTGCGGCCGCCCGTGCTGTGCAGCGCTGAGACAACAACTCTCTTGGAGAGCGATCTCAGCTCAGCCAAATTATTCACATAAACTGGGCTGAAGTCTGGTGATGATGAGCTGAAGAGGTCTGAAAGGGTCTCACATTGACATCATGACATCTCATGTCCAGGCTTCAGCCAGGGCTCAGACAATCTGCTCTTGAAGAAGAGTAGACTCAGGCCGGACCTAACCTGGGGGCCCCAAAGAGGGACGGCCCAACGCCAGCAGCTGGGGTCGGGGCGCCTCGTTAAGACGCCTGCGGCTGTCCAAATCGAGTGGAATGCAATGGGGCCCTTACAGGCTACGATAAAGGAGGAGCGTAACAACCAACTAGCTCTATTTGGGATGTCAAATCGCACTCCTCTCCTATCTCCACGTCTGCCAGACTCATGTCTGCTTTGCTGGAGGCATTTTGTTCCCATGATCTTATAACTTATAACCGAGTATAACCCAGCTTGAAGCATGCTGTCTTGAATCTTGAACACGAATGACAACATATCGCAACTCTCAAGGGTATCTTCGAGGCTTGGAAAGTCCCACAGGCTACGGTCATACATTCCTGCGCTGGCATGTTTCTTCAGCCGTCATGATGAAGTGGTGAACAAACACACCCGAACACCATCACGTTTATTGGAGTTTCAGGTGAATTGAGCAATACATTAGAATAAATTCACTCATGTTGTTCGATCCTCGCTGGTTTGGAAATCCTTTGTCTTTGCTCCGCGCACCGCGCCGCACCGCGCACCTCCTCACTTTTCCGGCTGAGTCGCCTCCGCTTCAGACTCCTGAACGGCTGCTTCTATCACAAGATTATCTGATGTATTGTAGGATCCAAGAGTACAAAAACAAAGACAACAAAGGAGACACAAGAAACCAATGATGTTTGTGATCTATATTTGTTTAAATACCTTTCGTTGTTTTCTCTTGGACATTTTCGCGTGGACATCTGTCTAACTGTCTAAATGTTTAACAATGTGGAGCCTCGAATTGGCGTCAAGTCTCGCGTCTTATGAACTGCACGGCCTTTGGAGCATCTTTCCGATCCGCCATGAGAGCCATGAACCTGAGGATTCGGGTCGGTGAAACAAAAACTTCGCTCCACGTGCTCTGCCATGGCAGAGCAGCCGGTCGGGGTTCTTAGGGAACTGACCACCAGGCAATCATCCCCCTACTAGGAGCAAGGACGCTACTAGGGTCTCCTGGCCTTACTACTAGGAGCAAGAAGGTACTAGGGGCTCCTGGCCTTACTAGCAGGAGCAAGGATGCTACTAGCCCAGCCACCTTTTAGTTTCACAAGACTTTCCAACCTATATATATATATTGATATTATATATATATAAATATGAGCGATGGCCTCCACCCTAGTAATGGTCTCCACCCTAGTAGCGACGGCCTCCAGCCTAAGAGATGGCTTGCAGCCTAAGAGCGATGGCCTCCACCGTGGTTATGGGCTAGTTTCAGAGCAGGATTACAACATGGTGCAACTTACAATCCACAAAGACATTGCTTGGCGCAAAATGTTTTGCTCGTCCCCAAAGGTGAGGTAGCGGTTCTGTAGGGATGGGTGGTGGACCGTGGATATTTAGGTAGGCAAGTGGCACGAACTCCCTGAATCTTGTCGAAAAAAATAGGCCTCGCTAAAAACGGTGATCCCAGCAAACCTTGATTATGAGAGTCTTGTGGCACGTTGGCGACTGGTTTTGTCTGCACCATAGGTTTCACCGGACACTCAATCCCTTCTGCTGAGTTATCCGTACTCCTCAAAGGACATGCGACCATCACCATTCTGGTCAACCTGGCCAAGTCCGTGTTATTCCCGCGCCAAACAGTGACTTGTCACCTGCCAGCCGATCACTATGAAGCCACAAGCCTACCCTGCAGAAGGCAGCGGATGGGATGCAAAGGTATGGCGCCTCCTTCATGATCTCGCTGATCTCTTCAACACTGATGCCTTGGGAAACTTCAGCCAGAGCAATCTAAAAGACTGTTGAAAAAGCAATTCAATCTGCGGACATATGGAAACAACACATTCACAATGGGCATCCAGGGCGTAATCACGCTTTCCTGGATTCGTGTCAAATGCTGGGCCACCCGAGCCAGCGAAACCTTCCTCTTGGTGACCACTTTTCAAAAGATTTGCCTGGCATATCAAACGGACAATTTGTGCCTGCAATTAGGATACCTAAAATTGACTAATCCACTGCTATGGCTAGGACATCAAGGGCTGCCTGAAGCCTGAAGCAAGGAAAATTATTGAAATACTGTGCCCATGTAGACCCCTGTTTGCCACAAACGTGGCGAGTGTGACCAAGTCGTCCTTGCAAATGAAGCCATCACCTCAACCATGCTGCCGCATGATGTTCAAGGACGCCCAATGGGAGTTGATCTTAATTACAGCAAATGTTCCTCCAATTTTCAATGGCAAAGGGCCTGCTGGGCGGGTGTTCGGTTAGGGCAATATAGTCTAGACTGGGGGGGACATGCCTGATTCTCAACAGTGGTATGTGCAAATTGTTCCGTCATCAACAGCCCGAAGAGCCTCGTTGCAATCCCAAAAAAACCGTGGAAATGCCGGTGCACATCACAAACTTATTTTCCAGGCTCCAGGCCATTCACATCAAAGATGTGGAAGGCTGCTTTGCCTTGGAGGAATTGGCATCAATGCCAAGGCTGTGCAATCCGGCTTTGTTGGTGCTGATTAGTTCGACTGTCCCACGGGAAAACCCACGAGACTAGTGTTGGTTCCCTGTCGCCTTGCACAACCTTCACAGCAAAAACCTGTGTGTAAGGCATCTTGTGTGGAGATATGGACGTCCCATCGTTGATTGATGGCGACCAAAACATACCAGAAGTAATATCGTGCAAATACCTGGCAAAACACCTGGTCTGGTTTCAGAACTCCTTTTGGTTCCTCGCACTTTTGAGCTGTCACCGCTTCTTCAAACAATCGGCACCAAAAACTGCGCCAGACCACACGAAAACAGCTACGTTCTGCAGTTCTGCTCTGCACTCTGCACGTCTCAAGTCTTCTGTTTCTTCGGCTGTGGCTCCTGTGGTTTCCAACCATGCAAGCCCTCGACGTCATCCTCGTCCTGACCCGGAATCCCCCGCTACTTCCCCCCCCGCAATCTCCATTCATGTGTTTCAGTTCTTAAGTTATTATGATAACTCAGATACACGGCAAATCAATGTGGCCGGAATCTCTGAGAGGAATAGAGGATTTGATTCACTCCACACAAACACATGATGGAAACGCACCTTCTCCGCGACGTCTTCTGCAAACTTCTCCATTGAGTCCAAAAAATTATCGAAGGGAGGCTCTGAAAAGACCTCCAGGATATGTCTGGCTCAACATGGCGTAGCCGTTTTCACACTGTCAGAATAGGTGCAAGCACCGGGGGGGGTTGATCCAAACATTTTGGCATTTCGGAATAGGCGCAAGCACCGGGGGGGGTGATCCAAACATTTTTGCATTCACTACACCACAGCCCGCTGCATAAATCTTTAATACACTTAATTAGCGACAATGGCTGACCTCTTCTTCGTCGCAGTTGTTGACAATATGTTTCCTCGGTTGTCTGCCCATCTGTTGCAAACCCAAACCGAACAACGTCCAACGCTGACCTCCGGCGTCTGCTGCACACTAGTTGCTGACATCTTGCAGGTTGTACCGGTCTCACGTTCAGAAGATTTTTGTTTCACAAAACACAACAAAAACATTACTGGTCTGCTCGCCACACTTCACCATGCCAAAGTGGGGAGAGGACTTCTTGACATTGACCTGAGTGAGGCACGCCCACAAATCCACCTTGTGCTTGACTGAACCCAACGCGCTGCAAGCTTGGCGTCAATGGAACTTTCAGGGACATGTTCCCCCGTATGTGAACGTCAACCTGAGCCCAAGTTGCCAAGTTGAACCCAAAACAAACCCAAGTATCATGCTTCAGCCCCAAACAAGGCCCAGCTTGCCCTTTACGGCATTTTGTGGACGAATGCGAGCCTGGCGTGGGCTGTGTTCATCATCGGCTCTCCCTGCAGGGTCGAAGCTAGGTGTATCGTCAGGTCGTTCGACCAGCCACCAATCATCCTGCCTACTGCAGTACTGCTTCAATGGTGGGTGTTTTGACGGCTTGCCCGTCATTGTAAAAGCTCAGTAGGCACGGTCGTACAGCAAGTGGGCGGCACAGTCACGAAATGTGAGCCAAACCGCCGCTTGACCAGAGCGGGCATGGCACTCGTGGGGGCAAGGAGCCTAGCGGGCCTAGGGGCCTAGCCCAAAGTACACCACTGCAGATGCGCCAGGGAGATGCTGGCGCGTGGCACTCGTGAGGGCAAGGAGCCTCCGTTTGGTACTGTTGGTGGCAAGTGGCGCAGTCAACACTTGGAGGGCTTCTGCGCGTGCCAGTTCTGGGCGGACGCTTGGCACTTGCTCAGTTTGCAAAGCAGTCTGTGCAAAAGTCTGCCACGCCTGACAGTGGGGCAATTGCAGCGTTTGGAAGCAGTCGGATGTTCAAACTAAGTTCCCCTGGCGTGGCCGTTGGCTTGTCTACTCGCGTGCGCTTGCTTGCATTTTCAAATGCAATGCTCAGAGGTCTGGAAGCATTCAGCTGGGCAACGCTAGTATGTATGTTTTTTGTTGGCGCTCGAAGAAGCACAGGCCAGGTTTCGCTGCCCTTCTTCAGTTCCTTTGCTCGGGCTGATGCTCTGAACCTCAGCGATGCTGCAGCAGCTTATGGAACCTCCTATGTGCAGTCATGCTTGCTGCCAGCTTCCCTACACTGGCCAGTCAAATGCCCATCAAAGCTCGAAGAGTGCTCGGGCATTGGAGCCCACTGAGTGCAAAGCCAATGCGGTATGACGCCTTTCGCTGTGAGTTGGCTCACAGAGCTTGGGAAATGGTGTCTTTCTCGAGCGCAGTGTGGCCAAAGGACCTCAGCAGCGGTGTCTATGCTTGCTCCGATATGCTTCACCTGCGGCAAGGTTGCGGGGCAAACTTGGCTTTGCAGTGGTGGCAGTTTTTGGTCGCTTCACAGCTAGCGGCGCTCAAACGCCGCCAGTATATGAAGCTGACGCAACATATTTCTCGTCGCGGTCGCCAAGGTTTCCTGGCGCATCTGCAGTGGTGGTTTGTGGGGCTAGGTGCTGCTCCAGCAAGGGGAACACTACAGACTTTGGAGCTTCTCACATTGCGCCCCAACATCAGCAGCACTATGGGCGCGTGTCCAGGCCACAGCTATACTAAATCAGATGTGTCCTCCGCCGAGCAACCTTTGGCAGCAGAAAACTCTTGGAGACGGGCCAGGGATGTGAAAGCATCGGCCAAAAGGACACCACTATCGATCTGCAGATCCCCAGCAGCTCTGAGGACGGTCGATGAGACATACCATGGGAAACTCTGTCAAACTATTTAGATGTTTGGGCCAGCACCTGCGGTGGTGGCCGTGTCACACCGACACCTAAACCGCACGTGCCACCCAAACCGACCCACTCGCTCCGATTCCGAAAAAAGAAAATATATATATATATATTGCATTTGTTTAGCTGTTTAGCTGCACCATCATCTCAAAGAATGATAGAAAAATCGGATCCGGCTGAGTCGGACGGTCAACTCAGTCGGATGGCTGGACACATACAGGGACCTCCTGGGTATGGGGCACCGTAGCGCCCATTGAAAATTGTTGCATACGGCATACTGTCTCATGTATTGACTATACAGTCAATTTGCGCACATCCCTTCTCTGGCTTCGGAGCACGGACTTCGCCAATTTGCTCCAAGTCCCACAACAACAAATCCGTCGCGCCCTGTTCCAACTCAAATCATCGCCCAGCGACAAAGAAGTAGTCGTACTCAGAGGAACTGGCCAAGAGCATCCAATCGTCGCCAGCGCAGCTCTCCTCGCCATGTTCCTCCATCCAATCTGCTTTGCACTCCTTCAGCCAACACTACGCCACTACACCAAGAAAAAGATCAAAAGCCACGTATCGTACTTCGTGGGGGAAAAAGGACTGATAGATATGCACTATCTTGCTTGCAGCAGAAAGGATTCTACCGGGCCCCCCCAAAGCCACAATGGAGGGCACAGTCTGTACCACTCCACGAAATGCCAAAATGCAATCCAATCTCCTCGTCACCAAAAATGTCCAGCTTAAAATCCTGATTTGCAACGAAGAGCTCCAGCGGTGGGATGCCCATATCCGTCCCTGAGTGGACCACCGTACGGTCAAACGTTGGGTTGTGGATTGTGGGAGTGAGGGTGAGATCAAATCTCTGGACTATTAGGGAAGGTTCCTTGGGAATATCTTGGCATCCTTGGCAAGAATAATCATTATCATGTGACCAAACAATTTCTAGCAAAACCGCAGACCTCCTCCAAGGAGGTGTGCACCTCAAGCCCAGCTTCGATAGCTCCACTTCACAGCATACTTCAGCAGTAATGCCAGTGATGCGGGAAACTCAAGACCTTCAGGAAGCTCTGCATCGTGTGAGAGTTCATGTTTACCAGGCTCGGTCAGAAGCTTTCCTCGGAGCGAGTTCCGAGTCTGCTTCAATCCAAATGACCGTTGCTCAAACGAAAGCAGCCTCTATCTACCACCAAACGACAAGTGTGAGTATCACATCTGAATTTGGATCAATCTGTCAAGAACAGGACCCTTATGTGCAGCTATATTATATCCAGCTATGCTACGAGTTTGTCCCCACGGTTCCGGGAACAAAACTGATACAGTCCGCCACCTTGTCTCCATCCATCTTTCGGCCGTGATCTCAAGCAGTTCAGCTTGGGTAAATTATAAGCCTAAGCCCCCCCGTGGAAGAATGATGACCAAATGGCCAAACCTGAGAACCCACTTCCACCATCTTCCTCCGCCCTCTTTCAGAATCAGCGTCCAAACTTCTCAAACTTGGCCTTCAGCGCCTCGATCCGCGGCACCACCCAACCTTCGGATTTGATCACTGTGATCTCAGCCCCCTCGGACAGCACGTCCTGGCAATGTCGATATCTTCCCCAGAAAACTTCTGGGGGTTGTATGGTGCAAAGCATGAAGCAACATCTTTTCAGGGTGTTTGGAGCAATCCGTCAAGGCTTGCAAACTAAACGACGCATTGCATGGCAGCGGCGCTGTTGCTTCAAGCACCCTCAAGCCCCTCTCCTTAGCCTTGCCATCATCCCAAGTACTGGTGCCTAGCACCAAGCTCAGTGCAGTGGCCTCACACTGCAGCACCTCCGCCAACTGTTGCTTCGCCTCTGTGGCGGTCGCCTCTGGTGACAACTCCAGCGCCTCGCGCCGCGCCAGGGACGAAAAAAAGACCTTCATCGCAGCGGCACGGGCAGAAGGTGTTTCTGCGCTGTGCGAGCCAATAGGACGCGTAACCAAGAGCAAGTGATTTGTGAGATCTGGCGCAAGAAACATCAGGCTACAAATCAAGATGTCAAAGCATCAAAAGCATGTGTTTATAGGGCCTTCTTCGGCCACAAGAAATCAGCCAGGGGACCATTCAGGCCATCACTTGACCCCCAACGTTCAAAAAAAACCCTTTGGGACACTGAGGAGGTCACAGACCTGCTCTTGGAGGTACTGCTTCTTCGAAATGTTCGCGGCAATGAACCTTTGGTGAGCGAGGTAACGAGATGCGTCTTTGCCAATGCTTGGTCTCTTCTGGGTCCTAGTGCTGGCGATTCTTGCCCCAAGGAGGGGCGTAAGAAGGTACGAGAAGTGTGTTGATCCATGTTATCTGGGGCAGTCCTGTATTCCGTGCGCTGCTGTTTAAAGGCAACTAGTTACACTAATTAGAATGTAAACATTGTTGAGTTCTTGAGGAATCAGCAGAATCAGTCTCAAGCACCAGCCGAGGGAATTGGGTTGCTTGGTTGCTTCTTCCCTTAACAACTGCTCCACCCTAGTAGCGATGGCCTCCAACTGCCTCCAACCTACTAGCGATGGCCTCCACCATAGTAGCGATGGCCTTAAACCTACTAGCGATGGCCTCCACCATAGTAGCG